GCAATAAACCGAAACATATTAATTCTAACATGAGGAATTTCATGTTGATGGACATTACATATTTTGTTAATTAGTAAAATAATATCCGTCAACATCAACTTCCTTATGTTAACGTTTCAAGGTCATTGCGTGAAACCCCTAAGACACATCTTCTATTTCGATGATACTGGTTTCAGCTTTGTAATGTACAGCAATAAGGGGAACAGTATCGTCGATGTAGCACAGATTTTAATGTCGAGGCTGATTTGCCACGAGGAACGCCAGCAGTCCAAAAAACTGTAGAGCTTCGGACGAGGAATATCGACCGAACGAGCTTAGAAGGTCTTCTGAGCTCGGTGTAGTGGTGTAACTTCCACTACTTGATTTCCTGCTCCGTGCTCTTTTTCGTCAGCTCGATGACCATATCTGCAAGACCTAGCACTACCTCGATGTCATTTACAGTTTCAAGATGTCTTTCTACGAAAGCATATTCGATTTCCGTTTGCCTTTTTCCGTTGCGGTAGGTAAGGTTACCTTCTGAGCCTTCCTTCTCGGGAACACGGTATTACAGACTGCTAGCTCGTGTGCCGTAACAGAGCCAAGAATCGCACACTCCTTCCGCTTTTGGCTCGTATTCCTTGACCTCCATTAGCTTTTATAAGGCACCTCCGTTCACTGCTAACATGGCCATTCAGATGACTCGCATTGGTGAGATAATACCCTACGGAGCTAACTTGAAAGCATTGTAAAGAATCGGATAAAAGGCATTTGGAGGATCGAATCTGTAGAAATTCATGAGGGAAGCTTCTTCATGTACATTTGATTTCAGTTTAGATGTTCAACATCGCAACTTCTTCCCAACTCGATGTTCTAACGCTAGTGGAGATAAATTCAAGCCGTTAGTTTTGAGATCACAAACTAAAATTAGGTTCAGGTTCTTCACGACTAAGGCCTCCCCGATCCTCTTGAAATTTCAAAAAAAGTAGTGTTATTTAAAATGGTAGTTCAGTGCAAAACAAATCTTGCATCGCCATCCAAGTAAGAAGTGTATATTGATGTCTATGGATCTGATTGTATCACTCCTCCTTGTCTTTTTTTTTGTGTGCTACCTCGATACCCTTTTTTGAATTTTATTTCAGTGGGTATCTGCGCTCTTATTGCTGCTTGCTTGTTGGTGTTTCAGTGGTTGTTTGGTTTTTTACTTCAGGTGCCCTGCACATGCAATAAAGTTAATAAAGATATATCTCGCTTTCTTCGTTTTTGAGGCAGCGGGCTAGCGGTGCGTACACGAACATTATTGTACGGTTAATTTCGTTTGTGCCTATCACAGGCATGAATCCGACCGCTGGCCCTTTTGCCAGAGGCGACAGTGTTTTAGAGAGACTCCGCTATTATTACTACTACAATCGTCACATGATTAACTTTGGCGCCTTTTCCGTTGTAGTAGAGCTTCACACCTTCTCCAGTTTCTTTGCCTTTTGCTCGTTTACAGCGTGTCCTTTGAAGATCTGGGACTTTGATAATCCCACGCTTCATAATATCAACAATTTCCCGAGACTCTCCAGTAAGTAATTCAACATTCGAAGCCCTAATATGTAGTAACTAACTTTTGTTCCTAGCCGATGTCGTTCATTCCTCAGTAGCCCTCGCATACCGTCAATTTACAGGGTCCTGTGCACCACTCATGAGCGACGTCCAATGCTCATTTACTGACTACTTTTCCAGACTTTATACATGATTGGTACCAGGTGTAGGTGGAAGGAATACTTCAACAGGCTCTTCAACGAAGAATTCGCCCGTAAAAACAGCTCCCACTTGGAGGCAACGGCTGGCCCCATC